CCCGTCTTAAAACTTCTCCCTCGCCCCCGACAACACGAAAGACTCTTTAGTGACCATGCCCATCATCCTCCTCGCCCGGCTGCTCAGGGTCTAGCTGGATCATGGTATCAATGCGCATGATGCTAATGCACGCCTCGACCGCGCTCTTGAGCTGCCGGGACTTGCTCAACGTCGGTTCCAGCACGCCGGCCTTGATCTCGTCGATGACTTTGCCCCGCGTCAGGTCCAGGCCGTAGTTCTTGTAGTTCTTCTTGTGCGCCACCACCTTCTCGTCCTCGTTCGCTTCACCCTCCTGGATCCGCTGCGACAGTGCGTGCCGCGACCGCAGCTGCGCCACCAGCTCCGCCGCGTCCTTGGCCGCGTTCACCGCCAGCGTCTTGGGGATCACCAGGAGCGACTGCGCGAACTCGGCAATCGCCAGCTGCTCCCGCGACCCCACAGTCCCCGCGAACTCCTCCAGGTAGATGTGCAACGCCGTCTCGACGGCGCCGCCGCCCGGTACGATGGTCCCGCTCTCCAGCGTCCTCTTGACGGCGCTGAGCGAGTCGTGAACCGACCGCTCCATCTCGTCCAGCTGCAAGTCGTTCGACCCGCGGAGGATGATGGACGCCGAAGAGTGCGTTTTGGTGCCCTTCACCAGGATGCATTCGTCGTCCGAGATGCGCTCCTGTACGACTTCGTCGGCATGGCCGAGGTAGGACGGCTCGAACCTCTCGTCGCCGTTGAGATCCGAGAGCGTGCTGAGCAGAGTGGCTCCGGTGGCTTTGGCGATCCGCCGCAGGTCCTCCTTCTTGCACCTCCGAACGCCCATGGCGCCCCGCTCGACGAATGTCTTGAGCACGAGGTCGTCGATGCCCTTGGTGGTCAGAATCACGTTGGCGCCCGCCTTGAGGATCATATCCACCCGTTCCAGGACCATGCCCGACTCGCGCGCCCGGATCTGTTCCAGCTGCTGCGGGTCGTCGACGGTGATCTGGACACCCAGCTTCATGCGCTCCTTTTGCAGGTTCATGTCCAGCACGGCAATCTTGGCATCTTGTATTCTGGTCGGCATGGCCTGCGACGCCACGGTGCAGTTGAGGGCATAGCCCTTGACGAGCATCGACTCAAGCGCGCTCTTTCCGTGCGCCTTGAGGATGTTCACCGCCTTGACGGGATACTTGGTCTCGTTGCGGTTGTTGGTCGTCTTGACGGCAAGCATAGAATCAACCACCATGTTGGCGAAGAAATCCGAGTCGGAACCGATAATCTTGCTGGACATGGAGGTCTTGGCGATGTTGACGAGCGAGTCCCGACCGAGGTTCTCAACCTTGATGCTGACGTTCTCATTCATGTACTTGATGGCCTCGCGGAGAGCTAAGCGGTAGCCCGTGATGATGGTCGTCGGGTGGATGCGGTTCTTCATTAGGTCGTTACCCCGGCGCAGCAATTCGGCGGCGATCAGGACAACCGAGGTGGTACCATCGCCGACTTCCTTGTCTTGTTGATGCGCTAGATCTACGAGAATCTTGCCGGCCGGGTCTTCGACGTCGAGGAGGCTGAGAATGGTCGCGCCGTCGTTGGTTACCGTGACGTCCTACTCAAGAAGGTGAGCCTGAAATATCCAACAACCAAAGAGAGGGACCTGAATAGTAAAACAAAACGTACACCAATATCATCCACCATCATCTTGTCGAGACCGCTGGGGCCGAAGGAGCTCTTTACGACGTTGGCAATAGCCTGTGTTGCTAGGACTGCGGGATCACATAAGTGTAAGAAGGTTGAAAAGACGAAAGGCAAAAGGTGGTCTGCCTCAGAACGAGGGAAAGATAGCGTAACATACCATTTCGATCTCTAATATCTGCACCCGAGATCTTCTGGCCACCGAGGAAGAGGGTGCCGCTACCGGATTGCTCGAAGATGGACGCCATCCTGGAAGCTGTGCGAGGCCGAGTGGGAAACGAAAGAGGAGAGGTTTTGCGACTTCTCAGATGAGAAGGGCCGGACAAGCTCAAGATGGAGAAAGGGAATGACTGGGCCCTGATCACTCCTCCTGAACGGTACAGAAAGGATTAAAGCGTCGGGAGGTGGGAGATTCGTTTGATGTGTTGGGTAGGGCGGTAGGTTAGACGGTGATGGAAGCTTCCTGGTGCCCCCTGCCTGGTGGATGCAAGTCCTTCCAGTTACCCAGCCCGAACTTTTCTTTCGGTATGGCAGTTAATCCACGTCCCGGTGGGCTGTGGCTGGTGGCCTTTGCTTCCGCCGCCGCCCTCAACGTTGCATGACTTACTGAGGTACTGAGGTACCTTCCTTAATTTCTTACCAACCGAAATAGGTATGTACCTTAGGTAGTCAGTCTCCTTTGGGGTATTTACGATTAGTAATACAACGTCCCCAGCCACATGCGGCTTGAATACATCAACCCTCTCGTTCCAGAGCACCGTGGGGTGTCTGCATCTTGCATGCACCTGCCCACCGCACTGCCTGCCCCACCCCCCACCACGACAGTTTTCCAATGCGGGGCACCGGCCCATGTACCAGAGACCTACTGTGACTCAGGCACTGGCGTGGGAATTTGTGTGGTGGTGTGGGTGTTAATTACCTACGAAGTACTCCGTACTCCTTCCTTCCTTATCAGAGAACTCCGGGCTCTTGGACGCCGTGTGACCCCAAAAATTTACCAACCTCTAGTCCCATGCCCCTATTTCTCCCCGAAAACATCTCTCTTAGAGTCTTCAGTTCTTCGTTCCTGCTGCGGGATTCCCGAATAATCGAGTCCTGTAGGACGCCCCTTCTCGTCTTCACCTGCACTCAAACATTCGTATCCTCCTAATATAACCCCGCCATTCGGTATCATTACCCCACACAATCAACCTCTGTCGGTTTTCTTCTCTCCCGACCCAGCCCCGCCATGGCCGATTCCGCGGAGCAAGCGAAGCTGCCCGAGCAGCAGCAGGGGCCGTCCAAGAGCGCGCTCAAGAAGGCCGAGAAGCAGGCCAAGATGGCCGCGGAGAAAGCCGCCAAGGCCTCCAAGAAGGCTGCTGTCCCCGTGGTGGGAGGCAAGAAGACCGACGACATAATCGGTATCACCGTACCCAAGAACGAAGACTTCTCCGCCTGGTACCAGGAAGTCGTCCTCAAGTCCGAGATGGTGGAATACTATAATGAGATCGCCGGCTTCTTCGTCCTGCGCCCGGCTTCCATGTACATCTGGGGCGTTATCCGGACGTGGTTCTCTGCGCGGATCGAGGCTATGGGTGTGGAGGAGACGAGTTTCCCCCTCTTCCTTTCTTCCAAATCACTCGAGAAGGAGAAGGACCACGTCGATGGCTTCGCTCCTGAGTTGGCATGGGTCACTAAGGCGTAAGTGACCAAAACGATCTTGGCCTACCCCCCTACCCCCTATACCAAGACAGGCGGTTAACCTTTTTCTTATATATGCAGCGGTGACAAGGACCTCGAGGTTCCCGTTGCCATTCGCCCGACATCCGAAGCCGTCATGTACCCTTACTATGCCAAATGGATCCGGAGTCATCGTGATCTCCCCCTGCGTCTCAACCAGTGGAACTCGGTCGTGCGATGGGAGGCCAAGCAGACGACGCCTTTCCTCCGAACCAGGGAATTCTTGTGGCAGGAGGGCCATACGGCTCATTTAACCGAGGAACTTGCGGGCAAGGAGGTGCTGGAGATTCTCGACCTGTACGCCGGTGTCTATGAGCAGCTGCTCGCCGTTCCCGTCGTCAAGGGTCGCAAGACGGAGAACGAGAAATTTGCCGGCGGCTACTACACCACCACCGTAGAAGGCTACATCCCTTCCAACGGCCGAGGCATCCAGGGCGCGACATCGCACTGTCTTGGCCAGAACTTCAGCAAGATGTTCGACATCACCGTCGAGGATCCCAACAAGAGAGGCGAACACATTCACGTCTGGCAAAATTCCTGGGGCCTCTCCACCCGCGTGATCGGCGTCATGGTCATGATCCACGGCGACGACAAGGGCCTCGTCCTCCCGCCCCGCGTCGCCAGGATCCAATCCATCGTCGTCCCCGTCGGCATCACCGCCAAGATGAGCCCCGAAGATCGCAAGAACCTTGAAGCCAAGGCCGACGACATCGCCCAGACCCTCAAAACCGCCGGCATCCGCGCCGACGTCGATCACCGTGACGGCTACACGCCGGCCTGGAAGTTCAACGACTGGGAGCTCCGGGGCGTCCCTCTGCGGCTTGAGTTCGGCCCCAAGGACGCCGCCAAGGAGGTCGTCAGCTTCGCCCGTCGCGACACGGGTGAGAAGGGGGCCATCCCCCTGGCCGAGGTCACCACCAAGGTTCCCGAACTCCTCGAGACCATCCAGCAGGACATGTACAACAAGGCCGAGAAGTCCTTCCGCGAGCACAGGATCCAGCTCACCGACTGGGACAAGGTCGTCCCCGCCCTCGATGCCAAGAACGTCGTCATCATCCCCTTCTGCCTTGAGCCCAAGTGCGAGGAGCGCATCAAGGAGCTCACCGTGAGCACGTCTCCCGAGAACGAGCTGCTTCCCGAGGGGAAGCGGGCCCCGTCCATGGGCATGAAGAGTCTCTGCATTCCCTTCGAGCAGCCCGAGGGTCTTGTCGAGGGACAGACCAAATGTCTGAACCCCGAATGCTCGGCGCTGGCTAAGAACTGGGTCATGTTCGGAAGAAGCTACTAGGCGCTGGCGATTGAGTGGCGGACTAGGTGTATTCTCATCAACGGCGCAGCCCCTGCCTCTGGGTGCAGAGGGTAGCTAATGGTGTCGACTTTTATGGAGGCCGAACGCATGTTATGGGATTCATGATATACTTGCTTTCTCTTCCTTCTCTGCTTTGGATGAGGTTGGATGATGGATGCATACCAGGATCGGCGCAGAAGAGATGGGGGGGCTGTGGTGAATAGGAGGAAGGTCGAGCCGGGCGTATCGAGCCGAGAGGGCCCGGGCGGGTTTGGTCAAGCCGAGAAGATGGTAGACGATAGACCTAGCCACATAAATGAAAGAAAAATAAGACATGACAACTTATGTTGGCCTCACAATAGACGTATTCTCGATCGACTTTTAACGTGCTATTGTCATGATTCTTTTATTGTGTGTCGTCAGACTGGGGACACTCTGATTTAAGCGTCCAGCCGGGATATGCATTGGTCATCATACACATACAGAACTGTTGATTCAATACTCCCCATGTTTCTTCCTCTCTCATCCCCAGACTCGTGCCATTCCTAGATTTATCATACACCGAGAGCAGCATTGAAGGCATCAGCAGCAGCCTGTCCCTCCAGACCACTCGCGTCGGCCGAACCATCTTCACAAGCCTCAACAGCAGCAGCATCGGCACCACAGCGGCTCGCAAGCTGTCCGCAAATAAAGCTGGTAATAATATCCACATTGAGCGCAGAGCCGTGGTCAAAGTCACCAGCGGGGCCGAAGCTAGCCTCAGCGCGACCGTCGAGGCCCTCCACGAAGCGGATGCTGGGATCCAAGCAGGAGCCAAAGTCGAGGGCCTGGCGCCTGGCCAGACGGGGTTCGGCGCGGGCGAAGCGGAAGCGGCCGTTGGGGGAATAGGTGACGGCGCGGGCGTTGCGGCGCATCTTGCGCAGCGAGGCGGCGGCGAGACAGGCGTCTTCCTGGGCGGCGCAGGCGGCGGTGCCCTCGGCCAGCCGGCCGGCGTTGGCGGCGTTGAAGCAGGCGTTGTTCTGGATGGCGCAGGACCGGGAGAGGGCGGCGGCGGCGTTTTGGAAGGTGTTGCCGTTGACCTCGAAGGGGCGGTCTGCGTTCGCGGCCGAGGAGATGACGGGCGGGGCGGGGCCGCCGAGGGCGCCTGTGAAGGTCTGGATGTTTACGCCGGTGCCGGTGGGGACCTCTTCCTCGACCTCTTCCTCGACCTCTTCTTCTTCTTCTTCTTCTTCTTCTTCTTCTTCTTGCTGACCGGCGCCGACATCTACTCCGATAGCCTGGCAGACTGAAAAGGGCGAAAAGTTAGACGAATTTTGTCTTCCATGTCTAAGCAACAGAAAATCGACGAAGGAGCAGTAACTTACTGGGAATGAGGCTTTCCACCAAGTCCAAGTCATTGCCTGCATTCGCGTCACCGCCCTCGACCAGGACCTGGGCGACTGCGGCATCAATCTCCCCAGGAGCAGCATCGGGCACCAGCAGGTTTAGGGTGAAGATGCAGCCGATATCGTCCGTCTCATCGTTGCAAGTGTTGCCAGCAGCAGTAGGGTCGCCGATCTAGACATATGTGAGCCATCATCTTGGGCAATGTCTGGGTGTGTCACACTTATGGTCCGGAGTGGGGGATTGAAGGAGAGGAAAAGAAAAGCGAGAGAAAAGAAAAAAGAAAGAAAAAAAGAAGAAAAAAAGTGTGGACGAAGAAAACACAGCACATACCTCGCCAGGAGGGAAAGTACCCGACTCGAGGGCGAGCATTGGATCAGCCCCGATAAGGGCGAGCTGCTGAGCCAAGGCAAGGGTGATAGCCTTGTTCTCCTCGGCCGCATTCTCAGCGGCCGGGTCCTGGTGCTGGGAGATGGCGTCGATCTCCGGGTTGACGGCCGTCTCGTTGCAAAGAACGCTCCTCAGTCCGACCTGCAAGGTATTACGCTCGAGGGCGCGGAAGATGAGGGCGCTGGCCATGCCGTCTATATCGCCGGCCTCCTTGGCGGCGGTGAAGGCCGAGTCGGCGGTGATCTGCTGCAGGCAGTCGAGGTCGGTGACATCGCCTGCGCCGTCGGCGGCCGCCGCGTTCCCGAGGAAGCCGAAGACGGAGTCGACGATGTTGAAGGGGTTGTTGAGTTCCAGGAGCTCATTGACGGCTATCAGGTATTTGCGGTGCGAGTGTTCCTGGGGCACCTCGGCGGCGGCTAGCCAGGCGAGAACAGCCGTCACGGCGATGGAATTCTGGTACTTCATGGTTGAATCGTAGTGTCTTGATGGTACGTGTCCAAAAAGGGGAAAGAAACTCGAAAGGATGGTATAAAGAGAGGAAGAAGCCGAGGATAGCTCGAAAGAAGTATGGAGAAGAAAAGAAAGAAAGAAAAGAAGAAGCAAAAATCACACAAATAAAGGACCGGCCTTGAAGTTCGAAGCGAACGAAGAAGAATAGAAAGAACGAAACAAGTTCACAGAACTTAAAGGATCAGAAGAATGCGAAGCCGGTTGGATGTGGTGAGAGGAAGCAGGAAGAAACATGATCGGGACCATACGAAGGGGATTATATATCATTGTCGACGCGAACACGGATCGCGGGTGGGCAACATTGGACGACGGACAAAGATCAGATGCCATGACTTTGCAGGGAGATCAAACAACGCATTTGACGGGGCATCGATTCTCATCCAGAGCACGTCTCATGCCTTCTCCTTGGATGTCTGTGGCATGTTCGATCCAGAGGCCCTGAACGGCCAGGAAAGAGCTGTCATGATTAAGCGAAACTAGAAGACCCATGGTTCCGAGTGCTTGGCGTTTGAGTGAGCGTAAGAGCAGACCCAGAATCGGGAGCGTCGACTTCCAGAGCGCAACTGTATGCCAAGGACATGACAGGTGTCGGCGATACCTAGATCTAGGTCGGACACACGGAGGAGGGCACGGACGGGGGCAAGTCAGAGAGCAGTGTCCGTGAGCCAAGATATGACAAGCTGATGGATATTCGGCCCCTGGTCTTGATCAATCAGTCAGTACAAGGTGAACGTATGACAGGCAGTGGACTCAATCCGTCCGGATTAATATCCAGGGTTTGATATGTCGGCCCATGAGTTGAAGTCAGAAGACGAGATACATGTCTCGACCGAACGTCCGCTGGGCGGTTCCTAGCCCAACCTGGAGGGACAAAGATCATCCGTGTGGATACTGCGGCTCAATATCGTAGGCCAGCTTCTTTCCTTGAGCAAAGGGACCTGAACCGTTAACGACCTGGGTTTGAAAGGGGATGAAGGGACAAAAGTTGAGGCGGGACAAGGAAGATCCGGGGAAGATCAAACGGACGCCGTTCGACCCGGAGGTACGGAGCACTTTGCCTCGTCTCATCTTCGTCTCATGGTGAAGTATCAAGGGGACGTAATATGATTGGTTGTTGGTATCCACCGACCGAGAAGTACCCAGGGTACTCTTGACCGACGACTCGCCTTATGTAAGCCTGCTGTCCTCTTCGTCTGTCAGGTCCTTGGGCAGTCGCCTTCAATGGTGCAATTATATGTTCCGGTATAAACATGGCCAATTAGGTGAACATGAGAAAAGTTACAAGTTACTCCATACTTATTGCGCTCCTCATCCGCTCACTCAACTACTTGCGGTGTTTATACAACGGGAAACACATGCCTCCATCCTAGTTCCGTTCTTGTCTAAGACGTCTCTCCCCCACTCCAGAGTGCAAAGAGAAGAGACAAGTGAAAAGAAAAAGAAAAAAATGGCCTCGCGTTGGGCTGGGCTGGGGCTGTGTCCGTGAATCTATGCGTAGTGCTTCTACCCTCCGCTGCCCATCGTCTCCTCTCCTTTGTTGTCCACCCCCCCATCCCATCCCATCCCATCCCATCCCATCCATACAGCGAATTAGATATTCGTACAAAAAGACTGGGACCGGTCAACATTTAACCGATGACAAGCTTGCCGTCGTCTGTGAAGCTGTACTCGGGAACCTCGAGGTTGAGCGGGGCGGGGCCCTTCCGGATACGGCCCGAGATGTCGTAGTGAGAACCGTGGCAGGGGCAGAACCAACCGCCGTAGTCGCCGGCTTCGCCGATGGGGACACAACCGAGATGAGTGCAGACGCCTGGGAAAGAAATCATTGCATCAGTTGCCAAGTTCTTAAAGGAATAAAGTCGAGAAAAAAAAAGGAACAAGAGCTTTCAGATTTGGGTAGTCGTATCATAACAGGATATAAAATCGGACAAAGAACACATACCAAGCATGACAAGCCACTCGGGCTGCTGAACACGGTCCGCATCGGCCTGGGGATCCCGTAGGGAGGCAATGTCGATCTTGTTGGCCTCGTCGATTTCAGACTGGGTGCGGTGGCGGATGAAGACGGGCTTTCCTCTCCACTTGATGATGACCTGTTGTTTTCTGCATCAGAACCGGCTCGTCTCCGCAGGGGCAAAAGGGAGAAGGGGGAAAAGGGACAACCCACGTTCTTGCCCTCGGGAATCGAGTTCAGGTCGACTTCCGCCTTGGCCATGGCCAAAACGTCGCTGGAGGCGGACATGTTGACGAGGAACTCTGCACATCAACCCAAGTCAGCCAAAATCCTGGCGTTTCCTGCTTCCAATTGACCCCGACTCATCCCCCAAATCGAAGAGTGTACTGATCCTTCAATTCCACCATTCTTCAATTCCACCACAGCGGATGAAAAGAATTTCCCTTTTTTTTTTCCCTTTTTTTTCCCTTTCCCGCCGCCTCAATATCCCGCCACACAAATGGAAGAGAACCTACCCTGCACAGTCGACTTGGCACCCGCAGCGGTAATGGCACCGAGGGCACCAACCATAAAGTACGAGTACAGCTGGTTCTTCGATCCGCTCGTCTTGCTGACGTACTTGCTAAAGTCCGGAATCTCGTTGCCCTTCTGCGCACCCTTGAACGGGCTCGAGTAGGACGCGGTCGAGTCGGGGCGGGCGACGGTCGTGCTAAGGGCTCGTGCCGAGGCGGGGGCGCCGCTCCGCGAGAGCTGGCGCACGCAGGTGCGGGAAGCGTGTGCGAGGGGCGCCATCGTGATGTGGTCGGTGGTCGGTGGTCGGGAGCGAAGGGAAGGAGGACCGTGTGGCGGGCGGGTGCGTTGGGATGGACGTTGTGGCAAGCGTTCTTTTTTTTTTATTCCGTGGTGACGGCTGTCACTGTCTGGTGGTTTTTTTGGATTGGGATTGCCGAATTGGAAGCTTTGGAGGGTGCCTCAGGCAGACAAACAAACGCTCTGAAATTGATGGGTTGTGATTGGGTCGTTATCAGCTGATGCCCGGGCGTTCCCGGGGAACCGAAAACACGGATCTGTGCATATTTGGGTCGGTATGTAATTATCAAATTTCTCGCGAGCAAAATGACCTGTTGATTGGTTAAGAATGGCCTATGGGATTCGGGGTTCGGGGTTCGGGGCATATTTCTCCCGGGCAAAACATTCAGACCGACCTGCGTCACAATACATCATCCTCCAAGACGGTCCTCGGCAACATGGACCTCCAACATATCGACGATCCAGGCTGGAGATCTTGACATGAGGCCCGTTTTGGACCATTACGTTACCATCGCCATCGTACGGCTCTGATGCAATATAAGCAATTACAACACCCTATCTCTATATTCCATGCTTATTCAAGGCTCTTGCAATGGTTTCCATAAGACCTCATCCTCTCATGGAGGACCAGATGTAACGGATGCCTAGCTACGAGGTAAATAGCCTAAGCAAGAACCCAGCTGTAGGTCCGCCAGAAATGTAATGTGATGGCCCTTCTCATCTGCCGACGCCATACAATCATACAAGTCGTTATAGTTTGGCATCTCACTCCTCCCCCTTCGGCCGTGTTAGTGCATCCGCCGCAGCTCTTCCACCATATTTCGCATCGCCTCGACCGACGGACCGAGTCCTTCCACGACCTCCTCCTGTCGAACCTCATTAAGGTCCAGGAATCGCTCGATCAGCTCGCCATCCACAAATCGGAACGGCGCATCCGCCGCCCGCTTCGCATTCCGGAATCCTCGCCACGAGTTGAAGGCCGCAGCCGGATCGTGCGAAGCGCCGCCCTGGCCCTGGCCCAGGAACCGCACCGCCTTGGCCAGCTGTTCCTGGAAAGGGAGCAGCAGGCTTCGGTAGGCCGGGTTGATATCCGCCACCACATAGAGGGAGCCTTCCACCTGTAACTTGAAAATTAGCTACTTCATCCTTCCTGGAAACACGGTCGCGGCGTGAAAAGTCGGCTTACCGTTGCGAGGAAGGCCTTGGGCACGATGATGTCGTTCTCGCCAGGCGTGATGTGTAACGGCCGAATCTTGTTCACTTGTTCCCCGAGGCGCATTTCGCTCGTCACCCGCATCTGCTTTCGATCGTGCTCCGTCAGTGCATCCGGGTTCCGCTCTAATATCAACAGGTTGCCTTGTGCGTCTGCCTCTAGCCAAGAGTTCCCTCCGAGATGGCAAACGGCCGTAGCCCATGCGTACTCAAAGTGCCTCGATCTCTCCACCAGCTTGGCTTTTTCGCCGTTTTGCGGCCGCACATATTCGATCACTGACACGGACTGCATCAGATCCGCCACACCGATCATGGTGCCCGACACATCCAGATCAACGGGGAACGTCGAAGGCCGAAAAGTGGCGAGTTTTTGCAGCTTCCCTTTCGTCGTAGTTTCCTCTATGTAATCGTATACGACGACAGTCTTGCTCAACCCGGCCACGATCAGGTCGTCCATGGTCGCAAGGCAGCGACAGGCGCCTTTCAGCTCGTGGCTGACGATCTGGTACGGGTTCTTGTCCGAGTCAATGCCGAGAACCAAAATGCGACCTAAAACATGCCCCGCATCCCGGACGTCGGGGTCGGCGAGGTAGCTCGTTCCCACGATGAACCGCTCAGCTTTATGCCCTGTGCTGTCGGGCAATTCCGCGCGGATGACGGCCTCTACCATTTCCACCGACGGCGAGGTATTGAGCGCAAAAGGCTTGCCGACGTGGCCCAGCACAATCTCGTCCACGAGTTGAAACACGCTCGAGACCATCTCTTCATCCCCGACCAGCTCTTTCTTGATGGTGCCAATGCCGAACACTTTGAGTCCCGGCGAATACGCGACACGGCGCACTGTTGCCCCAATGTGCAGTGGGTTGACCTGGGTCCTCCGCTCCGTGTCGACCTGGGCGATCCTGATGTGTTCGTCCGTGGCGACGAGGACGGAATCTGGGAAGCCCTCCGAATCAAACGGCGCAATGTACCTGACGTTCTCTGCCGTTGCGGCCGAGTAGATGATGCGGCCCTCGGCGCTGTAAATCAAGCTCGAATGCTCTGTTGTCGCGAAGACATTCCGCTGGCCCGGCGCACCTGGCCGAGGCAACACGTGTAGCCCCGCCTCCCGGTTCCCCAACGTGACGCTTTTGCGGCCGGACAAGGAGTAATCGTCCTTTGACACATTGAGCGAGACGACCTGTCCGTCCTCCATGGCGACGAAGAGGGTGGGGCCTGAAACGTCCGGCGGATGAAGCTGGACCAAGGCAACGTTTCGAGGAACCGAGACGGTATCGTCGTTTTGCTTGATCGTGTGTCCCTGAAGCGCCTCCAGGGTCCGGAGATTGACGATGGTCACTGATCCCTCGGACCAGAATCCCACAACCCCAACATCGGGCAGATCATGGGCCACATGGACGCAGGAAATCTGGCCGCTCTCACCACCCCTGACGTCCCCCCCGAGGACCTGTTCCCGGGCGGTCAAGTCGTCTGATATGTCCAATGACACGAGACGCGTGCCGTCGACGGACAACAAAACCCACCTGTCGTTCGCCGAAGCCCTGACGACGGAACTTCCTTCGGGTACCGTCCAGGTACTTACGCTGATGCCACTCTCGGAATCAAAGAGAGAGACTGTGTCTGGCGTGATCTGCAACATCTGACCGCTAGGTAGAGACGCTGCTACCAAAGTCGGTTGATCGAGGATGAGGCCCTGGAAATCAAAGACCTCTTCGACGCCGCCGTCTTGGTCGAAGCGGAAAACCCTCGTCTCGGTGACGAAAGATACGACCAGGGTATCTACCTGAGCCGAGCCGTACGACTTTAGTGAAAAGAGCCCGCGCACTCTTGGCAAGTCCCCCAGGATGCCAATGTCTTCTAGGGCGACGCTACTCCGGACGCTCCGCAAGCTTCCGTTGTGGTGCACTCCACAGCCTGCCACAATCCGAGCCTGGCCGGACGAAAAGGCATTTCCGACCTGATTATCCCCGGCGTTCCCGAGGTCCATGATAGCAAAGTCGAGTATCGGGGCAATGTTGGGTACAGTCTGTACAAGGCGAATGACTTCGGATGTGAGGTCGAACAAGAAGAGTTGCGAATCTCCATGATGAGAGCCCAGGAAGAGCATGTCGTTCCCCATATAAACAAGACACGAAGCCCGGGAGGTCTTCCCTATGTACTTGACTGACATGCTTGTCACCACGACGTCATCGACCTCGAGGGTGAGCAAGTGCAGGCCGCCATAGTCGTCGGCGAGGAAGTAGTGGGTGACATCAAGTTCCGCCCAAGCGACGAATATCTTCGGCTCCGCAAGCGTGTGGGTGACGCGGCTCTTCGTCAGGATATCAATGTAGACGAGCAGGGTCTCACCGACGACGATAAACCCTCCCAGCTGGGCCTTTGCGCCAGTGGTGTCGCGGTGGTGGTATCTCTTGACGGTAGGTTCCACAACGGTGACGGGTATGAGAATTCGGGCGAACGGGTCGGGTATCTCGAGGTCGAGCTCTCGGTCTCTCCTAGGGTCAAAGCGGGACACGTCCGTGTTCCTATCGTCGGTCATGAGCCGGTAGACGGAGAGACTGGCATCTTCTTTGTCGATGGCGGTCTGGTAGAGGAAGGCGATGGTGGGATGCTTGGTCTCGGTAGGCACGAAGATGCTCGACTTGACGAAGAGCTCCGAAAGGCGCACTTGGGCCCAGTCCCTCTCGATCCTCAAGTTGGTGTTCTTCCTGTTCCCTAATCGCATGACGTTCATAACGCCTTCCCATAGGTGCATGGCCATGAATCGGCCGGTGGGGTCGACGAGACATTTGCTCTGGCTTTCGGGTTCCCGCATGTGCGGCTCAGCCAAGTCTTCTATCACCTGTTCTGCCTGCAGCCTCCTAGCGTCGGGATCCCATCTTGCCGTGAAGTAATGAAATCGGTCGGTGCCGACGAATAGCAGATCGGTGTCGGAGGTTTTCGGCCGGAGTCGTTGTAGGAAGGCAATGGTGCCGCAGACGTTGGCGGAGCTCACCAGGGTAATGCCATCGGTACTAACGCGGGAGATCTCTATCCTATTCACTTTACTGGGTGAATGTAAGCAGAGGCCGTCATCAAGGTGCGGGGACAGGCAGAGGGGCAGAGCTGGGGGGCGGGGGGAGGTCAAGTCGGCCGAGTCGAGCTATGAAGAGCTGCTGTGCCTCTCATCCATTGGATTGAGGACCACCCATTGTTCCGTACAAAGGAAATTGAACGACGACCCGGCTCTGCTCAAGTCAAGCTTGCTGCAGCTCTCCGATGCTCCGGCCGTGCCGCATCTAGGTGGGTGGACGGGTCGGTATGGGAGACCTACGCAGTAACTAGAACGTCTTCATCCGGCCAAAGACGTATCGAGATGGCCTCACGTATGCTGCTTGGACGGTGGATGGGTGCAATGTAGGCCATGCTGTCGTGATGCGACAAAAGGGAAGTGGACGTGGCGGAGAGAATCCCTCGTGCCAAATATTCCGACCGGTGATGTCGATTGAAGAGGGAGGGAGAGCTCCTGGAGTTCTTGGCTTCGGACATAAGCCCCCCACATAGCTCCGGCAAGCGTTATCGATAAGATGACTGAAGGTTCCCCAAGCTTTCCCTGATGAGGTGCAGCTCCAGGTGGTACGTGCACGCACGCAGGCCAGTGAAGCTACTGCTAATGCTGTAACTTGATTACTTCTCCCAACCAACTGTTCCCAATCGTCCCAAACGCCCTCTATACCAGGGGCACGAGAGAGCCAAACGGTCGTGCTTACAGTCCAGTCGATCCATTACCCTTGGCTCGCTTGCCTTCTTATCTTTCAATTTCTGATTATCACATTGAAACTTTTGAACGTGGGTGCGCAATGGTTTGGGCTTGCCTACACCTACTTCGTCGTGACAAACACAATGATCGAGGCGGTCATTGTGAAGATTTTTGATCCATTGAAGTCTCTGACATTGTTCGTCGGGCTCCGAGATTTGCAGGTCTCCCGTCTTTCCATCTCCCGACACGGCTGGGTATAGTTTAAGAAAGATCCGATACTCATCACAAGATACTCATCAGAGGCCCACAAGACGTGGATTAGTTTGAGCTCATTCTACTCTATCCACTAGAGCAAGCAGTACAGGACCTGTTTGGCACACTTCCACGTGGCAAGCAGAGCGTTAGCCGATGAGTTAACGCTCATGCACCCATACACCCCCCATAGGTTCGTCCGAAGCGGTGCATGAGGAAAGCTGTTCGCCGTCAAGCTCAGAATCGCAACGTTGCTCAAGGGTGACAAAGCCCCCAAATGTGCCTTCGGGAAAGCGAAAGCTGTCCTCACAAGAGGAAATTTATGGGCACCGTTTGTTAGGAGGCTCCCACAACATGCCCCAGTTTCGATGAATCTCGTCCAGCCCGAACCTTCTCAGAGAGGTTTCGGCTACGTCGATGTCACGGTAACCGCACTTTTGGTAGAGCCTCCTCCCCGCAACGGACGATTCAAGAAAGGAGGGGATATTGAGACGGGCAGCCTCTTGCATACCCCATGACATGAGCTGCTGACCAATGCCACGGCGCTGGTGTTTGGGGTCTATCACCAAAATGTGAAGATCTTGGGAAGGGAGGCACAGGTCGTAAGCCCGGCCCGATCAAAAAATAACGGAAAAAAGGACAGAGAACCGACGGGGGCCGGTGAAGCTTTCAGACTTCCGGACTTCCAGACTTACAGACCCAGGGCTTCCCAACCATGGCGCGCTCGCGCATCTTATCAATGGCACCAAAAACCAAGTCGGCCGCCTCCTTGTTGACGCCTGGACCCCAGACGCGGGGTTTCGGCGGCGGGGTGGCATCCGGGTAAACAGCCCACTTGGCCCAACCGAGGACGGCATCGTCATCGTCATCGTCGGCGTCGGCGTCCCTCTCGGCTTCGGGATCGACAGCGACGAAGATACGGGCACCTGGCTCCTCGCGCAAAAGGGATAGGAGTTCTCCGGCCCGTTTATCGTCGGCACCGGGATCGAAGGGACCTGGGAAGACGACGGGGTTCAGGGCGCTGTCGGCAAAAGCGAGGGTTTCAACGGCCGCGCATCGTCGCAGGAGCGGGAGGTCGGACTCGGACCCGAGCACTCGACGAATTTCGACTGACATGACGGGCCAACGGGGCAATGGGCAAGTCCGGATTCACTATGAGTGTGGTGTTTACAGAGTACCTACTCTGCTTACCTATTTGAAGTCTTGAACTCACTCGAGGTGGTCGCTGGTACTTATAGGTAGGTACCAAGGCTGCGGGGCACCCGGGGGACCCGCTGGACCCTCATTCCTGACCAGCACTGTGAAGAATTGGAGATTCTTTTTGGTCCCCATGTCATCAACCACCTCCACAAGATGACATCCTCGCCGGATGAGTCAAGGTCGGTTGGTTGCCGACTGATGCGACGCTGATGCAAATCACATACAGAGAAATACGTTCCTTACTCTCTATGATTTGAAAGAGGAGCAATCGCGAACCCGCTGAAAAAAAGTTCCGGTCAATTGCTGACATCGCCCCATCACTCAATATCCTTGCTCCAAGGCTAAAACTTACCAGAAACCGGTGCTGGCTCCGGGATATGTCGGACGGTGAGGCTCGGTGAGGCTCGGTGAGAGACGTTAGAATGCCTGTCCTTACGGTACCGAGTACATGCCCACCGTAAGGTAGGTACCTTAGCGATCGATGGGTCGTTCATGGCAGGAGTAACCTCGCCCAGGTAGATATACATACCTCTAGCACTCTCCTTCCCGACAGGCTCCTGGGCCTGAGCCCTAGGGCTCGCCCTTTCTGTCCTTCATAACGTAACTGCCGCCCCATTCCTTGCGTGTCCATCGCGAGTCCCTCTCCAACTGCCTCGTCCAAAGGGAGTGGCTTCCTGTGCTCTTGAGTTTCTTTCTCCCCTTCACCAAACCCCCTCCTGTACCCAGCATCTCGCTGCACCGTACTTACCTCCAGAGCCGCGTCGCCAAGTATTCTGACCAGTTGTCCTTCCGTTGCTGAGGACATGGAGGACTGGGAGTCCTGGGACCGTTGGGCACGGTATGATCATGATGGCATCGCTGAATACCGAACCACCCTAGAGCAAGTCCGGGTCGACCTGGTAGCTTCGGGTCATATCATTGACGGCCAAAACCAGCCCTCACGAAAACTGGAAGCACTTTTCGACTCGGTGCCTTTCTTTAGCGACGATGATGTTGATGATGTTGTTCCTCTCGTTGACGAATGGTTTCAGCCGCTCTCCCTATCGCTCCATGACCTCGATTCCGCCGTCGAATCCGGCCTCGGCTCCGCTCTCGACTCCGAACTCGACCCTCCTGACAAGACCGCTGCCACCTTCCTGCACCATTTCGATCACGGCACCCCCGCCTCTCCCGACGCTCACAATCTCGCCGAAGCCGCCCTCACGAGCCTCTCACGTCCTGTTCTCGACTTGAAGCTAGAGCTTCCTCTACTCAAGAGCGACCCTCAACTTGATTTCAGACAGTTTCTCGCTGAATTCGCGGCCGAGTCGCGGCCCAACCCCTTGCACGCATCTATCTCTATTTTACCCTGCGAGCCTGTTGACGATCATGAAGACGCTGGCTTGGAGTTTCCTCGCTCGTCTGAAGTCTTTCGCCGGCGTCTCGATGACGAGCTGCAGCATGAGGTCCTCGACTACTCCGAGGAGCATCTCGTGCTTGTGACCGAAATTCAATACATCGAACCTGCTCCTATGGACCTGTCCTCGTTCATTCTTACCCAGCTGGACCAACGTGATGTAAGACGAATCCCCAAGAACCTTGCTACAGGACCCTTCCGGTGACCATATGCTCATTTGTTTCGTGTGTTTCAGGATAAACCCGAGGCTCTTACACCTCCTTTACTGCCGGTCTCCGGTAGCCCTGAGCCTTTCATTCCCTCCCAGTCGGATGCCAGTGTACCCTTTCTCTCCGATCCATCCACTCTCATGGATGAAGACTTGGAAAAGATCATGGGTGATGCCTTGGACGAAGACCGACAGCTATCAGGAGATGTGACAGTCTTACTCCCCAGCACCCCTCCGGAGCTCTTCGATGCTCCTTTGGCGGCCCACCACGCCAAGATGTCGGATCTGATGTTGGAGCCCCCTGTCCTGTCTGGATATGTCCGGTCTTCTTCGATACATGCAGCTAATGGATCTTCCGTCGATATCGATGCCTCTATCGGAGAAGGCTTACGTAGCTCTCCCCGGGCGCAAGGCGTCGCGGACGACGCGGAATTTTCCGTTGCTGATGAAAAGTGGCTATTCGAGCTCATCGAACACAACCGTGAGCAGGTAATTCAAGAGGTTGCTCAAGAGTATCTGGATCCCCTTGATGGGACTGCTAGAATTCCCGTCCCGGTGCTCGATCTCGAGATTCCTGACCCAGACTGGAAGACGCACACTGCCACTTCCGAGGCAATGTTTTCGTACCTCACCCAGGCTTACAGCCTTCACTTCAACGCCAAGCCTTGCAAAAGAGACTTTCGACTTGACAAGGAGCTCCGCTGGATTCCTTTCCCGCCTAACGCTGCCATAGTAAACTTGGAAGAAACCATTGGCGACGTCGCTGAAGTCGTGCAACAGCTCGAGCTATCCACCCGCTCACCTAGCCCTAGGAACGCGGATTGCATCCCGCCGAGACCTGGTCTACGGTTCATCGACCCGGATGATGTGGACGAACCCATTCTAGAGCACGACCGAGAGAGCACGGCCGAGCTGGACGGTGAAATGAACGTTTCGATCCCTCGCGGTCTATTCGTCGCCACACCCCCAAGCGATGATGACGATGATGACCTTATGGCCTTGGTCAGGAAGCGAAAATCCGACGCTACAAGTTGGAATGCGCTCTCTGTTCAAAATGCTTCGTCGTCGAACACGCCACTGTCCAGTCTTGACACCCCGCATAGGGATCCCCTGTTCACCAGTAAGAATGATCCTTACGCAACAGAGAAGTTGCTCTCAAGCTACATTAACCTGCGAGCTCCCAAAAAGGTCAAGTTAACCACCAGTGAACATTTCCCGTCGGATCCTCTTCGAACGAGAAAACAATCCACAGTAACCAACTCACGGATTTCCGAAACTGAGCCGGCGCCATGTCGCTGGACAGCCCCCGGCCCCCAGTTGGATCCTCCTGCGGAGCCCGTTCGTCTCATCATCTCAACGACAACACCGCGAAGTCTTATGTCGAGCCTCCGCAATCACCTACGAGGGGTAGAGCTCTTGGACCGCGACTTGAGCCTCGAGAGTTCTTGCAATTTCCCTTGCCAAAATTTTGACCGCAAAGGTGTTAATATTTTGCCGCTCATTTTTGAAGCTGATATCATAATTTCTCCTTCAACCGGGATCATTGCTACCACACTTCTCAAAGTCCGCCAAAAGCCTCTTCCGGGATCTGGAAGCACCATGTCGAAGATATGCGAACGTATCGCAAAGGTTGCTCCCTTGTACGAAAGGCTGATCGTTCTCGTGTCTGAAAATGCCCAGGACGAGACAGCTGGACCTCTGTCCGAAACCGACGCCCATGCCTATTCTGACTTTGTCCTTTCTACCATGTCTCTTGAGGGTACTACTAGTGTACAGACCTTTTATGTTCCCGGTGGGCCCCGAACATTGGGGGCCTGGGCTACATGGATTCTATGCGCGAACTTGCCTCCGGCCCAGGTGCAGAAGATGCTGTCCGGAGAAGAGACGAAGTGGGAGGGCTTCTTCCGCGCTGCCGGCGTGAACGTCTATGCGGCACAGGTCCTGAGTCTTTGTCTAGAAGAGAGATACGGTGGAGAGGGCTTGATGAGGTTCCTTCAGCTGTCGAAAGACGAAAAGGTCGCTGCTTTTGAAGGCCCCATCTTCAGTACCGAACTGCTGAAACGAGTGTCGGAACACTTGCATAGACGCTTGGGATGATGATACGCTCAGGAGGTATCTCGCATCTGATCGTTTTCTAGCACTTACATACCTTGCAGCTTGCTCCGGATCCTCGACTTGACAGTGCTGCTGGGCTTTAAGCCCTTGCTTCTGCTTGCTTCCCTTCTGCAAGGAGCCTTTTCAATCCAAAGCGTCTAGTCGTGGGAGCAGGGATGTAGAGAGAAGCTGGAGCAAATAAAAATGTAAAAATGTTCGCTAGACTAGCAAAGTAACTCGCTTCGAGATGATCTATAAAATAAACAAGTCCTTTCCCAGAACAAACTCCGAATTTCTATCCCAATTTTCTATCCCTTGTACCCATACCCACGGTCCCGAGTTCTATAGCCCAAGATTATGCCCTTATATAAACTCCGTAGGGCAATGCGGCATGTGTTGTACAAACGCCTGATGTGTCGCCAATGCAAGTTCCCAAATGCGCTCCAAAATACAAGTCGAAATATGTACATAAAATCGTCAGAAAAGGGGGGGGGGGCTGTTAGACTGGCCCAGTAGTCAAGGGACAAAGGGAGCCCATCATCACTGCAGATCTGCAGGGATAACGTCGCCGTTGAAGAGGAGGTCGGTGGCAGTGTCCAGGAGACCTTGCATGAAGCGGTCGAGCTGAGACTGGTCGGGGGCGTCAAAGGAGCCGCGGGAGGGGGGCAGGGCGCGGCTGCACTCGGTCATGGAGTTGAGCTCGGGGACACCGAGGAGGCTGACACGGATATATTCGGCTGCGTAGGCCTGGGGAAAGGGAGTTTGTCAGTGTATGTGTGAGGAGGAGGAGGGAAAGGACGAATGGAACGGGCGTAATTCATCGACAACGTACCTTGTTCCAGCTGGACTGGGCGGAGGGATCGGCGTAGGACCGCCAGGTGGCGTGGGTGCGGGGGTCGTTGGCGATGTTGAGGTCGCTCTGGAACTTGAAGACGCGGGCGGGGGCGTCGTCGTCGAGGGTCTCGGAGAAGTACTCGGTGTCCCAGACGCCCGGGGTGGAATCCTGCGGGTCGCCGGCGCGGTCCACGTCGATGCTGTGCTGCTGCGAGGCGCTGTGGGCGCCCAGGAGGGCGACGACGCCGTCGGCGGAGATGGTCTTGTTGGCGAACATGTCGATGATGCGGTCGGCGTCGTCGAAGGGGCCCGGCAGCAGGCCCCGGGGCCCGGCGACGGCGACGTCCTTCCGGCCGGCGAAGAAGCGGATGCGCGGGCCCAGCGGGCAGACGACGGTGGCGACCTGGGCGGCGAACTGGATGACGTCGGCCATGGAGACGCCGTGGCTGGCGTACTTGGCGTGCCAGGTGCGGACCTGGTCGCAGGCGGTGCCGAGCCCCCTGTTCTCCGGGGTGCGGTCGCACTCGTCGGTCAGGGCGATGGAACCGTCGGCGCCGGTGCCGTCGGAGTGGATGTCCCAGGTGCCGGCGTCGTGGAAGGCGAGGCGGATGAGGGCGCGGGCGAGGTCGTTGCAGCGGCCGGCGGTGCCGGTCAGGGCGGGGGCCATCTCGTCGGCGATGTGTTTCCAGACGCAGCAGGTGTCGATGTTGCAGAGCCACGAGCCGAGGGGAGGGGTGCCGAGGAAGTAGGATGCGTGCGAGATCAGGTCTTGCGGGTTGCCGGTGCCGCGGAGAATGGCCTTGATCTCGCGTCCGGTGCGGGTGAGTTGGCGGTCGGAGAGGTGGACGAGGTCGCCTAGTAGGGCGGTGGAGGGGCCGCTGCCGCCCTGTCGAGCTTGGATTTCGGACATGGTCTTGTCCATTCCTGGGAAGGCTGTTGTGAAGCCTGCCGTGCAGACCACCGCTAGAAGGAATGAGGCCCTCATTGTGGGTGGGACGGACAAGAAAAGGCTGTAGGAGCGCAAGGAGAGTAGGCAAGGCAGAGTCTAGATGGGATACCGATGTATGCAAGTCACCGATTCAAGAAGCCTCAGTAATGGTCACGAAGGGTTCTAGACCTGGTGGGGTGTGGGTGTGGGTGATCGTTTGGAGGAGGTAGGGAACCAAGTTGGGCGGGAGGCAAGTCGTTGATGGCGATGATATTCGAGAGTTGGATGTGGGATGGAGAGAAATAGCATGACCTTAAGTACATATGAGCCACAGCAGACAGAGCCCTCTGAGACACAGATAACATGGGGGTATAGCGCCCGTGGTGAGATCACATCGTGGTGGTCGACCAGGAAGATCCGCACCCTCCCGGGGAACTTCAGGTCATGCCGGGAAACCAAGCGGGAGTGTGCTGACGGTGGGGTGACAAGGGGCTTAGGTCTAAATCCGACGTGTTTCTGCTTTGAAGCTGCGGTGCTTGGACGGTAATCGTCGAAGTAGGACGGAGTTGTGTCCGACTACGATCATTGGGCATAGGCATTGGGTATTGGGTATTAGACGACCAGGTGTAGGGGCGGTAAGGGGAATGGATGGAATGTGCTTCTGACCAGTCTGACCGAGACACCCTGGGCCTGATCGGCCATGGCGATTGCCGATCCCAAAGGAGAGAAAGCATTGATCCAAGGAAGATTGGCTTGATCAAGTCCGGGGCAGTGGGTAGTGGGTAATTGGCTGTGCATTCCCCAAGGCACAAACCGACGGACCAGGCTCCGGAAGCCAAGATATTGATAGACAATGAAACAATGTGGGAAATACAGGCCTCGTCCGTCGTTATTGGCGAGAGGAATGGGCTGGGTGCTGGGCCCGCTGACGCTGAGGGACACTGCCGATGCAGCACGGAGGCGCGGTTGACGAGCCAATCTGATGCCAGGATCAGCCACGCAGTTCACGACCCAGGTGTCAGGGGCACGGCACCACCCGCTACCACTTAGTCTTATGACTCTAATTATAGCCCAGTCATGCGTTGGTAGACCGAGATTGTACGTAGCCTGGCCTGTCGGTGAGGAGATCAGATCAGTGGTCGTGGTGATTTGCTCGGAGACTAGGTGGAAGATTGGAAGATGGAGTCTCGGGATGCTGTTCGTATCATTGATCCAGATCGTCGTACGTCTCGAAAGTTGTGTCTATCGATGAGGACTTGGCGAATGAACCTTGGTTCGTGGTCGTGTTCTATAAGGCCGTAAAGCGTAAGAGAACCCAATCCCTAGGCAAAGTTGTACTGCATGCAAGATGCTGCGACTAGAGGCTTTTGGGCTTGATTGGCGGCCCATCGATCGGGTGGTGAGAAAGTCGAGCAAGAGCGAAATCCCATCGGGGAGCCCGCAACATGCTTCTGGAACGTCCGCGGTGAGGGCGCGGGAGGACGCCGAAGCCGGGGGTAGGTGCGTGCCGTCTCACCGAGCTGCAGCTAACCCAACCAGGGCAACTGTGCTGATTGCGGATACTGAGTACGAAGTAATGAATGGGCTTATTTGCATCCTCCCAGTGCCGTGTCACTGCCACTGTCACTGTCATTGTCACATCACCTGCCATTGTGCCGACTCGGACTGCGGCCAAAAGACGAGAGGCCCCTGTCCTAGAGTCGTCGACATCATGAGGACTGTGTTTCTGCATCACCCTTCAACAAAGTCCGCATGCCTTGTTGCCAATTATAGCTCGTCACCCTTCAGGTGCTTTCTCGGCATCATCCAATGCGTCATCGTCCATGCCCAGGGCCCAAATCTTCAGGTTACAGTCGTCAGTGAGACGAGGCGACGCCAATTTCGGCATGCCGACGTCGTTGCTCGTCCCGGCTTGTGCGACCAGCTCGTCGTCCGAAGTCGTCGTCCACGCGCCTGAACAGGTGGCCACGACCGAACCCCCCGGATGAAGCATCGTCCCGCCGACGGGAGACTGATGAGCGCGGAAGTCCCAAGACTCGTCGAGGGTGCCGGAGCGGGCGCCGACGCCTTCCCACACCAGAACCCTCCCGTCCTTGGACCCGGCCCACAACTCGAACCCCCCGTCGTCAGACGTGGCGGCGCTGCCGGCGAAAACATCACAACTGAGGCGTTGCTGCGTGGACGCGTCGCGGCCGATGAGAAGGTTCACGGGTCGACCGGTGCCGCGCACGTCGTAGACCAGGATCCCGCTGGCCTGCCGCTCGTTGACGGCCAGGTAGCGGCCGCAGGGGCTCCAAAGAGTCTGCACCACGCCGCCGCCGTCGTCGTCCCGGTGGCCAAACTCGGCCTCGACCACGCCCCGGATCGACCAGTTGGCCACGGCCTTGTTGGAGCGGGCCGGGTCGTACAGGCCGAGCCAGCGGGTCCAGGTCCCCGCGGCGACGAGCGGGGCATCGGACACGGCGGGGCTCTGGCTGGCGAGGGCGGAGACCATGCCTTTCATTCCGACGCCGCCGCCCTTGGAGAGGTGTCTCTTGGAAGGGATGGTGGGGATGGTGAGGGCGGGACCATCCGACCCGGTGCGTGTGATGTCGAAGTAGTCGAGGCGGTTGACGGAGCCGACGAGGAAGTGGGTGCCGGGCCAGGTCCAGAGGAGTGATTCAGCCGAGATGTATGCCTCTGTCTCGCGGCGGATGAGCTTGTAGCTGGACATCAGCGAGCGCGGGGCCGGATCGGGACGGGACTGTGACTGTGACTGTGACTGTGACGGCGAGGTTGAGGTTGAGCTTGAGGCGCTGGCGGGTGGGTCGGGGAACAGGTGGTGAAGCTGGATGGGATGATCTTTACAGGAGACGAGGACGGTCTGGGAAAGAGGTTCGGAAAGTGAGAAGTAGGGTGAGACGGCGAAGGCGTATGAAGGCTCCGAGAAGCGAAGCTGGGAATCGGGTTCCAGGTGGAAGGGTTGGTCTTTGGGAGCGAGGAGATCTTCAGGTAGGACATGAACGGAGATTCTATGATCTGAAGTCGAAGCGACAACCGCAGTGCCATCTGCTGTCCATTGAACACCACGGTAGAAGGAACGAGCGTGAGGCTTGTCCAAGGCATATTCCTTTTCTTGAGGACCATGGTCATGTGGTTCTGGCGAGGCGCTGTGTGTGTCTCCGCCTCTTGAACGATGCTCCGTCGAGGCAACTACCTGCACGGCAGGGAAGGGTCGCGGACCATCGGGCTGGTTTCTCGGAGAATCCTCTTGGTGGTGGGAGATGTTCTGTGCTTCCCTTTGGTCACAAGCCTCTCCATCTTCGACGTCTTTGTGCGAGTCCATCCGAGGTTTTTGTCAAGCAGGGAGGGTTCGGGTATTCGGGTCGACCTGATGCCTAGGGACGTGAGATCAGAAATGTTGCGAAAAATGAAACAGAAGACGACAGTGGTCCGAATAATAGTGAAGACCAAGAAATCAATTAGAAGGCACCCATGAGGTTTGTCTGTATTTGCCCATTGGACGATTGGTACTGAGGTACAAGTTAGGGTATACCGTATTTTGTGGCATAAAAATACTGTATAAGTGCTCTGTACGTACTTGGCGATCTGTGTTAGTTTCAGGCAACCCACCAAGTATTCCGCCCAGCAAAAGCTCTGTAAAGTAAACATTTACGTCATTACGTTGCTAACAGGCAGGGATCCACACAGGGTTCCGGATCACTCTCCGTTCTCAGAAGTCCTCTTCCCACCCCAGTGCACGATCCACAATAGCAACAATTGTATGTATGGACACTGTGTCTATGTAACTAAGGTACCCTACGAGTCGCCTGCCAACCTGGCTGTCGGCAGCTGCGATCACGAAATGTTCCATACAAAGTGGAGACTACACCGTATCCCGTATCTGTACCTAAGGTACCTAGGTAGGTACAGTAAGCAAATCTGAACAAGCTCCCGAACCCCATCCATCCCACCTCCTCTCCACAAACATCGCAGCCTAAAGTCCTGTCCGGAGCAGTTGTTCACCTTTCCCCCCTTTCATTCAGCTGTTCCCATTCAGCTACCATACCCTCTGTTCACATCTTTGACCTTTGATCCGCTCATTTTAACAGACTTGTCCACCTGGACGACTCGCCGTGAGCTTTGCTTTGGCTATTGTACATAGGTTTTTGTACAATGCCGAGGTAGCTCGGTGAGGTCCCAACTCGCCGGCCTTCCTCCTCCTGCTTCATCAACATCTCCGCTTTGTTTTACCAATCCAATCATTGAATCTCCTACTTCTTTGAAGAAAGAGCTTTTAGAATATCTCTCGTTCCCTCCGTCTCCTTCTCCTCTCTCCTAGCGAAACGCAATTCTTCTCTTCGCAACCGTCCAACACTACTTCGTCCTCTCGATATCGTCCTTCCCAACAAAACGCATCTCCCTTGCGACAAACCTACGGCCAACACCATATCGCGATCCATCGATCCATATATCACTGTTACGAAGAGTCTATACGTAGAAGAACAGCGCGAGGAACGCCGAACTCCTTGTCTAGGGACCTGCACCCCCCCCCAAAAGCACCTCGAGATGGTGCCCACCGCTTTCGATGACCGTTGCGAAGCGCTTCGGGACCCCGACTACTTCAACCTGTCCCTGTCCATGTGAGTCGCTTCCCTTTAATCCAGGGACAATCGTCTTTTTTCTTTCCCGGGTTGCGGCTGCAACGGCAGTAATAAATACACCCGGGGGACGCAGTGCAAGATCATGCACGTCGAGACACCTCGCAAATCGAAGTGCACTGGCTGACGAGTATGCGACCCCGCCAGCTCCATCCTCTTTGGCCTCCTGATCTCCTACCTGCCCCAGCACTATCGGATCATTTCTCGCCGCACGTCCGAGGGCATCTCGCCTTGGTTCGTCCTCCTGGGCACCACCTCGGCCACGTCGGGTTTCGCCAACATCCTCACCGTTCCGCCCTCGCGACAAGATATTGCCTGCTGTAGCCAAGTCGCGCCCGGCGAGTGTCTGGTCGGGCTGCTGGGCATCGCGCAGCTTGGTGTTCAGTGGATTTGTTTCGCCTTGATGTATGTGGCCTCCCACCTCTCTCCTTCTTCCATCCCATCCCCCCTTTGGCTTTACTAGCCGTCATGCACACGGGATTTCCATGACATCCTCGACTAACTCAATGCGCTCCGACAGCCTCGTTCTCTTCCTCGTTTTCTTCCGATACGACGATGCATCTGTCTCCGAAGACGAGCTTGCCGGCACCCCTCCCGGATGGCATACGGCGGTGACGGTGGGCTTGGCCTGTTTGTTCCACGGCCTCATAGTGATCATTTTGACCGGCGTCTTCGCCATCGGCCTCCCTGCGCAGCTGACAGTCTGGGCCAATTTCCTCGGCATCATGGCGGCTGCCCTCGCGGCCGTGCAGTACATCCCGCAGATTTGGACCACGTACCATCTCGGTCACGTCGGCAGCCTGAGCATTCCCATGATGTGCATGCAGACCCCCGGCGGCTACCTGTTCGCCTTCAACCTGTACAGGCGACTGGGGGCCGAGGGCTGGAGCACCTGGGGCATCTACCTCCTGACGGCCTCGATGCAGGGCGTCCTGCTCGCGATGGCCATCTACTACGAGGTCACGAACCACACGGGCGAGGATCTGTCGCAGCACTCGGATGGATATCCCGACGAGCCGAGCCTCCCGAGCCGGCCCAACCCGATCCGCACGTACTCCGAGGGCTGGCACGACGGTCTGCCGGGGCCGTACACGGCGCATCCGGAACGGTACGCCGACACGGAGGAAGAGCTGGAGCGGCTGCGCGAGCGCGAAGAGCGACAGGTGCTTCGGGAGGATAGACCCCTCCTACGACCCGGCGGAATCGGCACGCCACACCGGAACCGGAGCTACCACACGTACGATGACGATGACTGAATGGCGTTTTTTTCTTTTTTTGGTTTATATTTTATATTTGCTTTGTGCGTTTTTTTTCCCCCCGTGAGGGTCGAGCGCAGGACATCACGGCCTCATCGGTCTGACATTGCGGCAGGTTTTTCTTTTCTCCCCGCCCCCTTTTCATGGCGCTGGTGTCTTTTTCCTCGCCTCCGGTGCGAGTCAATCATGCCCGAATTCTTTCCATGGGTTTAAAAAAATTGTTGCAGAGGGACTACTAGGGAGCAGAGCTTCGCCTTCCAACCAGACCAAGTGTTTAGCCACGTATTCCGACGTGGATGGGACATGTACCTTATATTTCCTGGACGCAGGGAGTCTGACAGACGTTGGGAGATGGGCTCCTGTCGATTGAGCATCGGGTTTTCCATCGGGTGTAGTAAGTTTGTCCTCTTCACCCAAGGATTGATGGTTCGAGTGGCGTCCAGGCGCTGTATAACTAGAGATTAGGAGAACGGGACGGAATGCAGGGAATATGCTTGCCTTTTACCATTCTGGCTGCTAATAAGAAGCTGGCACATGTGTACGAAGTACACCAGGAAAGATACATAATAAACACCGAAAGAGGTTATTGCAAGTCCCCACCACCGAAGTGAATCAACGGATTCCGTTAGCACCGTTGAGCGAGAAAAGCTGCAGGAGACGGACAGACTGCAAAGCACGAATGCAAGTAGGACGCAGCAGTTCCGGCTGCTACCCGGACGCCCGGTTCCAGGCCTGGTCTCATGGGAGTGTGGAGTAGGCGAAGCCCGGTCGAAACCCGGGCATCCAGCCAGTTCCCGGAATCTCTGCCGGTTACTGAAGACAAAGAGACGACGTGGGCCATGCGGCGATGAATCATTGCTAAGCGACCAACCGAGGTGTTTGGAGCCGAGGCAGGATAAAATAAGAGACGTAAGATCGTGAGAATTTTCTTCTCTTTTCTTCCCACTCTCTTCGCGTCTGGCACGATGGCTTTTCACTTGGGGCCAGCCATGAATTCCACAATTACCTGAAAGACTGGTCTGGACATGGGGCAGATGGGGCAATACAAGTTGGGAATAGCTGCACACTACCTTACCTATGAGCAAATGCTTTCCTTTGACCAAACAAAAGTACCTAGTGATAGACTTAGTGTCCGTGTAAAGTACCGACCCATGCGAAGAGCGAATTAACATGAGTGTAGGTGACGATCTTGACGACCTCCTATCTTCTCCCTGGCCTTCTTTTCCTTGATCCTTTTTTTTTTCTTCCTTTCTTTTCTTTTCTCTTTTTTTTTTTTTTGCTTCCCTTATTTAGGGATTTAGAGGTGCATGACAAACATTGAGAACATGGCATTTGGCCCAGCCCGTTTTCATTTTCGTCATATCCAAAGACGGAGTACCCGTACGTCCTTCCCGGCAATGCCCGGAAAAGCGAAGGGAGTGTACGAGTCATCATCAGAAGCAATGGCCCATGGCGACTGCCAAGAATGCCCTGATGAGCCATGTGGGTCCGATGACCAATGTCAGGATCTGATAAGGAAAAGTCTGCAAGACGGATTTTTTTTCTTCTCTTCTTCACGTCTCCACCCCCTCTCGCTCCCACTCCCCACAGACAATAACGACGACTTGAGACCGGCGAGATGTTGATCAAGTGTTGAAACCATCAAAAAAGCTACGAATCACTCGAAGAACAGCACAGTCTATTAGAGCATCGCAACTACGCGATGTTGTATGTCGTCGGGAGAGCTCATAAGCGCCGAGGCTCAACACCTCCATGCCGTCATCCGTCGGCCATCAGCGAGGGCATGCTAGAATTTGATGGTCTGTCCATCGGTCTCAGCAGTCCATTTCCTCCATTCCCCTTTCGGTCCTTGATCCTGGAAGCTCCCGTGCCCAGTGCTCTGCTAAATTAGTGCCTACACTACTTTCGCTTTCGCACACTGCGCTACCCCCATACAGCTGTCATTCCTCTGTTTCTTTCACCGTACTTCGTACATCGTACATCACACCACCATGATGTCTAGGCCCAGCTCTCCCGCACCTCCCCGCCCTCCTCTTGAATTTTTTTTTTTTTTTTTCAATCTTATCAGATGGGGTTTGCAGAACTCCACAGGGCTTTTCAGGACCGCCATTGGCTCCTTATGTCCATTTCCGGGGATCATCCCGGTCGGGACCCGACTCGAGCCCCGCCTGCTTCGACGGTATCCATCTCTACGGATGTTCCCAGCTCTTGAGGAGTAGGAAGACAAAGAAGAGGAAGGAGAAAAAAAAGAAGAAGAAGAAAAAAGACCCCCAATACCGGCTGTCGAAAGTGAGCCTTATTCTGCTCCGTATTACCGAGTCACCCCGTCAAGCCCTGCATAAAACGTGGCTGCGACCCTCTTCGAGAACCCTGACTTATTCCTTACAGTCTCCGTCCCGTCTTTTTCGCAGAAAAGGAGAATTTCTTTTCTTCCACTCCCGCTCCCGCTCCCACTCCGCCCCCTCGGTCAATTCGGCTGGGGGCCACATCAGATACGGGCCAAGAAATCGACGGGACTGAGCTTTACCTCTGCCCATCTTATCAATTGGTACGTTCCTGACCTTTTTAGCTGAAACTTTGCTCGTCCGAACCTATATGGGCTTTAGGAGGGGGGCTTCGGTCCTCATTCTCCATCCGACTCGACTCATCCCTTCCTTCACAGCACACATTTACATCCTGCGCGCATTGTTCAATGATGCGACGGCGTTCGAACCTCCCACTGACCTGAAGAGTAATATAATAGGTAGTAGATGCGCAAGGCCACCATCATGTCCTCCCAAGTCGACAACAAGATTGTCGCGGCGGCCTCGTCGAGCGAAGCGGAGAAGCGAGAGCAACAACAGGAACAAGAACAGCAACAGCAACAGCAACAGCAACGATCCAACGGCAGCGACGAGAAAACCCCCAATACCGTAGGCACAGACATGCTGGGCTCAACCTCGCCGGCCACAGCCGAATTGGGCCACAAATCCTTCGGTGTGGCCCGCATTGAGGCCATCACCTCGGTCATGACCCGCTTCGATCGCATCTTCATCTTCCTGGGTGTCTTCCTCGTCTCGTACGCCTACGGCCTCGACGGCACCTTGCGCTACGCCTACCAACCCACCGCCACCGCCTCGTTCCAGAGTCACTCCCTTCTATCCACCGTCAACGTGCTGCGCTCCGTTATCGCCGCCGCTGCCCAGCCCACCTCGGCCAAGATCGCCGACGTCTTCGGTCGCGTCGAGCTCCTCTGCGTCTCCGTCTTCTTCTACGTCCTCGGCACCGTAGTCGAGACCGTCTCCGACGATGTCCAGGCCTTCTCCGCCGGCGCCGTCATCTACCAGGTCGGCTACACCATGATCATACTCCTCGTCGAGGTCATCATCGCCGACATCACCTCCACCCGCGCCCGTCTCCTCTTCTCCTACATCCCCGCCACCCCGTTCCTCGTCAACACCTGGGTCAGCGGCGACATCTCCCAGGCCGTCCTCGACAACACCACCTGGCGCTGGGGCATCGGCATGTGGTGCATCATCTACCCCGCCTGCGCCCTCCCGCTCATCGTCGCCCTCTCCATCGTCGCCCGCCGCGCCCGCCAGCGCGGCCTGCTCGACAAGCACAAAACGCCCTTCCAGGCCCTCGGCTGGCGGAAGGGCTGGGTCGACCTCTTCTGGCGCCTCGACGTCATCGGCATCGTCCTCGTCATCGCCATGTTCGCCCTCATCCTCGTGCCCATGACCATCGCCGGCGGCTTCGAGTCGCAGTGGTCCCGCCCCCACGTCATCGCCCCCCTCGTCGTCGGCATCTGCGTCATCCCCGTCTTCTTCTGGTGGCAGACCCGCTCCCCGCACGCCCTCGTCCCCTACTGGCAGATGAAGGACCGCGGCATCTGGGGCGCCCTCGGCATCGCCTTTTTCCTCAACTTCGCCTGGTACATGCAGGGCAACTACCTCTACACCGTCCTCATCGTCGCCTTCGACATGAGCGTCATGACCGCCACCCGCGTCACCTCGCTCTACTCCTTCACCTCCGTCCTCGTCGGCTTCCTCCTCGGTTTTGTTGTCTACAGGGTCCGCCGCCTCAAGGTCTTCATCGTCATCGGCACCTGCCTCTTCCTCGTCGCCTTCGGCCTGCTGATCCACTACCGCGGCGGCGTCTCCGACTCCGCCCGCGCCGGCATCATCGGTGCCGAGGTCCTCCTGGGCGTCGCCGGCGGCATGTTCCCCTACCCGGCCCAGGCCTCCCTGCAGACCTCGCTCCGCCACGAGCACCTCGCCGTCATGACCGCCCTCTACCTCGCCACCTACAACGTCGGCTCCGCCTTTGGCAACACCGTCTCCGGCGCCTTCTGGTCCCAGCTCCTCCCCGGCACCCTCGCCGACAGGCTCGCCCAGTTCAACAACGACACCATCGCCACCATGACCTACGACGACCCCTTCACCGCCGTCGCTTTGTACCCCGTCGGCACCCCCGAGCGCGAGCAGATCATTGCCGCCTACCAGCATGTCCAGCGCTTGCTGTGCATCACCGGTATCTGCCTCTCCGTGCCCCTCGTCGCTTTCGCTATCTGCATGCGCAACCCCAAGTTGAACGACAAGCAGACTTTGGCGGAGGAGTCGTCATCGGACGATGAGAGCGCTCGCAGGGTTTAGAATAGAGGTGAAATTTTGCATTCATTGTGCATTAGGGGGAGTGTGGAGGAGATGATATATGAGGATGTCTAAATCTTGATACCAACTGAAGCGTGCTGGGGTTTCTTTTTTTCTTTTCTATTTTTCCCACCCCTCTCCAGGAGAGGATGTGTCGTGGGGGCGCGGCCCGTGATTTAATGGCCTTACAGAGCAGAATTCTGGAGATAATGGTCTGTTCATGTTTATTATTGTGCTGTGTGGCAGGGGACACTTTGCTCAATGCAATTGTGATCGCCCCCGTATGCCCCCCTTTCTCCTCTCTCTCTTCCCCTCTAATTCTCCCTTCGTCCCTTCGCGTGATATCCTTCCCACCTATCGATATCGTATAGGTATATAAAGTGCTGCGTTCAAACAAGGAAAAACAAGGGGGGAAAAAGGAAAGCAAAAAAAAAAAAAAAAAAACCTCACACCAAGCAAAAAGCCACCTCACCTCCTTGCAATGATCAACCCAATTCGGCTGCTCCAGCAAGAACCACCCGACCCGACGGTACGCCCCGTTGCTCATCCTACGCAACAGCAACCCCTCGTTCGGGGCCCTTTCGTCCAAGGGAATGCGGCGCTGAACACTTACCTGCATCTCTTTCCTACTGCTATGACTCACCTCATTCACCCACCATGCCGCGCTCCTCAACGACCTACGCACCCGCAACCCGTCCGCCGAGCTCGTCTACCTCGAAGGCCAGCTCTCGGCGGATGTGCGACGTGAAGAGGCTCCCCGACGTCATTGCTTCCCAAAGAGCACGCCCTCGACGCCCTATTCCTCCCGGCCGGGTTCCTCCCCTTCGGCGGAAGGAAGGAGACGGAAGAAGGCTCCGAAGAGTGCCTTCGGGCGCAGGAGGCAGATGAGAGGCCGTGGGAGCATACCATGGGCAAGCTGCAGCCCTATATGGGAAAGTAATAACTGCTGCGTTACCAAGTACGGTGTACTTTGGTGTACTTTCGTATCTGCGATGAGTGATGATAACCTACCTCGGTTTCAGCGAATCATTGTGGTCAGAGTATGTAGCCTAGATGTATTAAAGTTCCGGACGTCTTCTTGTCTTTTGTCGAGGGAAATCAAGTCTCTGAGTGTGGACTTCTCACACCCACGGACTAAAACGGGCATCCCGACCACGTTCGGGGCCCCCAGGTTCAAACATGGACATTGGATCAGGTCATTGGCCAAAGAAGCCTATATTCCAAGATGCCGTGGCTAGATGCCGCGGCTAAATGCCAAACGAACTGCTGCCTCTCATCGCCGGAATACGCCGGTAGTCTGGACAAGAGCACAGCAGGATGAAGAACATCAAGAAAAGAAAAGAAAGAAGAAGAAGAAAAAGAAGAAAAAAAAAAAGATAAATACAACCTGTTGCAACATCATTCAAAAGAGGGTAAAGGGTTCGGTTCACGGGACTGGCGTGTGCCGTTCCATCGTCTAGGTAGTCAGGCCATCATCACAATCATCAATCAGCAAACTTCCCACAGAGGCCGGGGCATGTCGTTCCGGAAGGGGTTGGCACGTCCCCGCTTCGGAATCGTGCTCTTGATGCCGACGTAGACGACTCTCCTGGGAGGCGACCCGGCCGTGACAGAGCGGGACTGGAGACCGTAGTAGGTGGAGAGCGAATGGATGAGCCAGCGCCTAAGATTCGAAACGACGGAAGAAACTCGTCAGCACGCATTGCTGCGGGGGGGTTACGGCAATTGGAAAGGGGGAGGGAGAGAGAGAGAGGAACGTACTTGAAGGGCGCCGTCTCATCGTCTCCCAGATCGTCAAACACCACGCCCGACTCGACGGCTCCCCCACTGCCGCCGACTTCCCTCGTCGCTCTCTTCCACCCACGCGCCGCCCTCGTCGCGGTGGCCGCCGCCTGGTTCTTTCGCCCGACGAAGACAATCTCCTCATCCTCGCTATCGAGGCCGTCGATGTCCGTCTCCTCATCCGCCGCGAGCGCCTCGGCCGCCCTCTGCCGCTGGGCGAACCCGCGCACGGGTTCCTCGAGGTGCTGCAGCCAGTTGCGCACGGCGGGGGAGCGCTTGGCGTAGTCGCGCAGGTCGCGGGGCACCATGCCGGCGCCGAGGCCGGTGGCGGACCCGTTGGCGAGCTGCTGCTTCTTGCGCCGGGCCTGCTGCGCCTGGTGCTTCTCGTCGAAGCGCTGTCGGAGGGGCGCTGCGGCGCCGCTCTTGGGCTCGCGGTCCCAGTAGGCCGCTAGGTGGTAGGGGACTTTCTGGACGGGGTGGGTCGGGTGGGGGGCAAAGTCGGAGGGGAGAGGGGGCTGGACGTTGGGAACGTGGATGAGGCGATCTGTGGAGACGGCGTGCACATTAGTGAAAACAGGTTGTGGCGTAGTCTGCCCGTCTGTTCTTGAGTGGGAATTGGATTGGGATCTATCTCTCAATGGAAAGGTATGGGTCTGCATGTAGCCCCAGCAAGTAGAGACGGACCGTTCTCCCAGCGACGGCGCTGACGACTCCCCTCGTGGCCCTTGAGGAGAGCCTCGCGCGTCTTCTGGCTGTCGCGACAACTCGGCGGCCGTCGGATGGGATCTTTCGGCGGCGCATCGATGGCAATGGTGACGGAGCGATGGGGGATGGTGGTTTGCGCATGCTGTAGGCGCGCGGCCTCGTCGAGCGGAATGGTGAGCGGGCTTCCGGTACCACGCGCGATGGGACTGACGCGCAACGATTGGAGGGCCGAGAGAGTCCACGCCTCGATGTCTGCAAGCCGGGAGCTGGACTGAAGGTAGCTCGGGGTCTGCGGGAGCACCACCACGGATGGTTGGGGGGGAGGCGAAGGCGGCGATGCTACGTCCGTGAGCCCATCCGCGGGGTCCAGGTTGGGTGGAGGGGGGACTGCGCTGTAGATGGCCATGATGCGCCGATGCTGGTCACGATATGCCGGTTTATGATCTCTAAAATGGTGGAATGGGTGAAGCAGGAAAAAGAAGCAAAAAAAAACCCCCCCAGACCACGTCCCAAACTATACGACCGCGAACGAGAAAGAGAATCTAGGTATGGAATTGAATGTCGTCCTGTTCGCCGGGATAAAGGGAGGTGTAGGACGCTGAGGAGGAGGACAGGTGGGAGAACCCCCGAGCCCCGAGTTGCAGTGGGTTCGTGGCCTTTATCAGGGCATGCGTAATTGCACCGTCCACGTAATACAGTGTAACACTCCGTGAAGTGCTCAGTACACCCCTGAATTGGAGGCTCCAATACACTGATGCACGCGGCGGTGTGCACTGTAGGCGTACTGTACGAACGCGTTCTTACCTGTAATAAGCCTTGTAGAGGATGTACAGTACTCCGTAACTTACCCGCACTAGTCCAGGCATCCGGCGACGAGTCACACTCAGGTTTCTGTATGTATAATGTATCCGTACTTCTGCAGCGGTATCTCTCTCCAAGTACCTTGTCGAACAGGGAACCTTTTCCCCTTCCAGGTTATTATCTATGTTCAAGTACCTAGTGTACATCAGTTTCTGGGTGGCAGCCTGGGGCATTGGGAGGTGGTGGAGACGGTGGCCTCTGACTGACTCGACACAGTAAACTCGCTTCTTCGCTGACTCGTGGTCATTGAGCATAGACATGGATGGATGAATGTAATTAAGAGTTGATCCAGGCAGGGCAATATGGCCCGAGTTCACCTCCTAAGAGAATCTCACGAATAAAGTTCCGGGTCTCTGCTTCGACCAGACACGTGGGATGAAAGCGACACGATGAATGGCAAGTTAACCTGTGGTATAAATACAGTACGGATGGTATTCCTACGTACGGTGGATTACAGAGGCTCATGCTGGCAATAGCCTTACCAAGCAATTACCGAGTCATTCATCCATCAATCAAACTCCCTGTGGTGTAGTTGGCTATCACGTTCGACTGTAATTGGACTCTGTTTCAATCGAAAGGTCACCGGCTCGATTCCGGTCGGGGAGAACACCACAGCAAGCTCAGCTTGTGAATTTTTTTTTTTTTCGTTGTTTGATTTCGTTTTTTTCCCCTCTCTTCTGAAAACGTAACCAAATTAACAGCAAGCTGCAAATTTGCCTTTCGTGTCCGACTGTCTCATCAACTCGGACTATGAATAGGTGAGGCCCTGCCGGGGGTAGTCGAGTAACTTAGTTATACGGTCAAGGCGACTCGACATAGATTAGAGGCAAGTAGCAATTGATTCAACACTGCAACGTGCTCTCAGCCCGACGCGGTTGATCGTATTTGAAATTCACGCTGGTATTTACATGTATTTACATATAGATGCTATTATACACACCTTCCTGGTGTCCGATATCTGTTTGATACCGTATGATCGTATCATGCAGAAATTGCCGAAAAATCAACGAAACAAAACCCATCGTCGCTAAGAAACCTCCCTCGTGTTCGCGTTCATGTCATCGTAGAACGGGCATCACGTCCTCAATATCTCCCCCTGCTAGGTCGTCGCGGACTCCTCGAATAGTCATGGATGACCACAGGAGGCGGGGCCGATATGCTCGAGGATCGACGCCGGCTGCGGCTATGCCGATGAGGGGAATGGTGGCGGTGATGGTGGTGATGGTGGCGGTCCTTGTCGCGATACCAGGGCTCGGGCTCCCGAGGGCGGGCGCCCAGGTTACAGAGGGAGCGGATGATCCACAGGAGGAGCAGGGTGCCGACGATGGAACCGATTACGATGCCCGCAATCGCGCCGCCGCTGAGGTTATCGGCGCCGCGGCCGCCGCCGCCGCCTCCCGCGGGTACTTCGGTGACGGTGACTGTTGCGGGGGAACCGTCTTGGCGCACCACGAGGGTTGGGTGGTTGACGGTGGACGTGCAGCCCGGGGCGACGTCGAGGTCTGCATTGTCGTCACGTCTCTTCAGGGGCCAAGAAGGACCGGCCTGGACGATGGGTAGAATAACATGAGGAGGCATGGTTGGGATGGCGAGTCGTGACTCGTGACTCGTGACCACGGGGGTGTCTGCTGCTCGCCGGGAGTAGCCTGTAGGTTTGGGTTTGATAGGTTGGCGACGGAAGGACACGGGAGCCGGGATATCCAAGGGCAACGAAACGTATTATGGGCCGTCGGAGCAGTAGTCCACCGCTGTTAGTCTCGCTGAACGGGTGTGACCGAGCCTACATCTGGGGAATGAGAGGAGTATGAGAAGAGTTTAAGTAGGTACCACCATTCTCAACCTCTCATATACACTTATAGTCCATACAAAGGAGAAGGAGAAAAGGAAAAGGGAAAGGAAAAGGAAAAGTGATGGCATGGTGAGGAATCGGGGCGTCATTGGAACGTCAACTCGGTCCATTCTAGACCCCAGACCCGCGTTCGAACTTTCGGACCATCAACTCCAGACAAGAAGTGTGACAAGGGGTGTAAACGCGGTGCGATTGTCTTCAGCTCGTTGAGCCGTTCGTCATGATGGGGAGGGAGAAGCTTTCAACTCCAGGCCTGATTGGGCTCGAGGGCCATTGCTTCAGGGCCGTTTTGGCCTGCATGTGAACTTTCGAGGAAAATGTCTTGTGGATCAGCTCAGTTTACCCGCAGAGTTCAATTGCTTGCATATGACGTAATTTGTGACGTCGTCGTCTCTGTGCCCCTGTATACCTTAGGTAGCCATTCATGAAGCGGAAGTCACCACCCAAGTTGATCCCACCACTCAACCACAACCCCCGCCCAAACCCCTCCCAACCCCCAGCCACGCGACTAATTCGTACATCCCTTGAACGCTTTGTTCGATCTTCCATTGTCCCGAATAGTCCTGATACCACATGCCATAATGCCTCGTGCTAATTAACTGTCATTATCACGCATTTCTCCGTTCTTCCAATCCGATTTTCAACCACGGAGCTTTACCGCATCGAATTTATCTTCGGAATGACAATTTTGTGTTTACAGGACTTGGGGGATAGAAAGGCGTATAAAGGAATCTGGTCGGCGGAAAATGCCAGTGCGGCGCAGCACCCAGGGGCCAGACTCGGTCAACTTGAGTCCCTGACAATCATATCCGTATTGGCTGCAATGCGACAGGAAAGGACTTTGGGGAACAGACATATGAACCCCATGTCCGAAAAGAGTCCAGCCAGTGCTGTCGTTGGGCCGTTCATCCACCATTATTCAATCTAAAAGCTCAGTGCCTTGCAGGTATACCGTATGGCGACCAATTACTGGTTCGTTTACGACTTTTGGATAAGATGGGAGGCTTGGAACCAAAGAAAGGCTCGAGAGTAAAGCCACCAAAGAATTGAGGCTGTAGGGAATTTGATAGTCTATAGTTGGTGTGGTCGGCGTTGGACCTCATTACTTAATTATGGCTGACTTGAGCCTCAACTCCTCACCTTCTTTGCCCTGCACTTATTCTCTCTTCCTCTGTCGTCACCAGCACCGGTGTAAGTGACAACACTGGCAAGTCTGCAACAATCATCATGACTACGGATACCATTTGGCAACCCGGCCTCACTGCCGCCGCTCTTGGGCGTCGCGATCGCGTACATCTTCCTCCGAGCTATCGTCCACCTCACCCAGGGGGCGCAGGAACCGCCCGCCGTCCCCTTCTCCATCCGGACCATCCCTTATCCCTTACCTCTGCGTCTCCCCGGAAGCCGTATCTACGTCGTCAACTCGACCGCCCTCATCCCCGTGGTCCAACGTCAGTTCCGCACCGTCGCTTTCACGCCCCTCGAGGCGAGGGCCGCCGAACATGTCATGGGCGTCAGCAAGGCCCGGCCTGGAAGTAGGTAATCACTCAACTCTTTTTCCCTCGAGGGCGGACAAAACGTTTGGAAAACTTCCCGCTGTCAGTACATACAGGGTGATTCCCACTGAGCGAGGTTTTGGTTTTGTTTTGTACGGAGGTTCGATGGGGCCCGGGGGTCCATTGGCGGTGGGTCGGTGAGCGCTCGTTTGTCTCGGTTCGTCATACGGGCGCATGGGGACTCAATGGTGGAGGCATCTAATGACACTATCTAGCCTTGGAACGCATATGAGATTGGTGGGACGCTGGCTGGGATCGGGAACCCGGAGTCTTCATCAACCCCGAGACGGCACGAAGACATTTTTAGGAACACCGGGTGGGTAGATAGCACAGGTATTGGTTTCTGAACAGGACGAGCTGGGGCCAATTCCAGACCCCCAGCCCACTAAGCCAATGCTGTTATTATTATCTACTACCTGCTGTACTTCCCTGTACATTTTCTCGTACAGTATAGAGTAAGTACATGTCAAGTATCATAAGGTAGGGTAGGGGGAAAGGGGGTATAAGCGAGAGTTGAGAGAGAGTTGAGAGACAATATAGCCAAACCGACAAAGAAGTTGAGAGAACCTGGAGAGACCTAGACCTATAGAGTATCCATGTTGAACTGGGTCCTCAGCTTCTCGCCGTACCGCAGAATTAGGAAAGGCACTGGAATAAACGCAGTCGCGATGAAGCCGAGCAGGGAGTTTCCCCAGCCCAGTCCCAACACGTCGTACATTTCCAGGGCGCACAGCGGCAGGACGGCACCTGCAATGGATCGGATGATGGTGTTGGCGGCAAGGGCCGAGGCAGAGTACATGGTGTAGGCATCGACCAGATACATGGTGATGGTTATGAAGCAGAGGATGTTGCCTTTTTGGTGTTGCCCGCAAAACTCGTCAGCAATTTTTTAATTTTTTTTGGTGTAGCGCTGCAATTACATCAAGGAAGCATTTGACAAGACTCGTCTCGTACGTACCGACTCCAATAACTGTCAAGCCCATAATAGGCCCCATCCAGTGCGTCTCATAGTCGGCCGTCCATCCGTAGATGAAGAACCCGACCGGTAAGAGGATGGCCCCATGGGGTAGCAGCTTCAACCTGATCTCCGGTTTCACATGGCCGTTCTCGTTCTCATGCCCGCCGACGTCCTCTTCGGCCTGCAGCTTCTTCATGGCCTTGACGTCCCTGGAGGTGTCGACCGAAAACCAGGCCATGCCGATCATGGATCCCACGCCGAGTCCCAGATACACCAGACCAACGTCGCTCGTGCTGAAGCCATAGGAGCGCTGGAAGACGAACGGCACCGACGTGAAGAGGATGTACAAGTACCCGTACACCAGGACCATGTACAGGGCAAAGACGGTGCAGATGGGCGAGAACAGGAGCAGCTTCAGGGGCCGAACGACGGTCAGCAGGACGAGGTCCTTCTCCGTGAGCCCCTTATCCAAGCGAGACCGGAGCGCCGGGTTCCCCGTCTCCCTCCGCAGCCTGCGGGCCTTCCGGTCGAGGAGGACGGGCGCGTAGGTCTCGCGCATCAGCAGCAGCATGGCGACGACCAGGAAGCCGCTCACGGCGGCGACGACCCAGAAGACCCAGCGCCAGCCTTTCTGCTCCTGCAAGACGCCGCCGATGACGGGGCCCAGCACGGGGCCGAGCAGGGGCCCGATGCTGAAGACGGACATGGCGGCGGCGCGTTTTTCCTGCGGGATCATGTCGGCGATGCTGCCGCCGCCGTTGGTCAGCGGGCAGGCGCCCATGGCGCCGGCCAGGAAGCGGAAGGCGATGAGGGAGTCCAGGGTCGGGGCCAGGGCGCAGCCCACGGTGAAGGCGACGAAGCACAGGTTGCTGACGTGGTAGACGGGCAGGCGGCCGTACAGCTCGGAGAGCGGGGCCATGAGCATGGGCCCGAAGGCGAAGCCGAGGACGTAGACGGAGACGACGAAGGCGGCGAGCTCCTGGTTCGAGCTGCCAAAGTCGACCATCAGTTGCGGGACGCCGGGGGCGAAGATGGACGAGGCGAGGGGGGTGACGAAGGTGAGGAAGCTGATGAGGCCGCAGTTGGTGTATTTCCTCCATGCCGGCCAGTTATAGGGGTTCTCGGGGTCGTTGTCGCCGTCCCACCATACTGTTGTGTCGTCATGTCGGTTGAGCTGTTGCTGACTTGTGAGGTCTTTGTCGTTTTCGTTTGAGTTGGTTGTTGTTATCTTCTCCTCAACAATGTGATTTTCCGGAGTTTGTGAGTTGGCTTCTTGTGCCGCAACGCCGTTACTCCCCTCTGCCCCTGGGAGAACGCTGTCGGGGGCCTTCATGGTCGTTTCAATGTTCCTATATAAAGTAGGAACACTATCCCCCGGGGTATGGGCTAAGAAATATTTAAGTAAAAAAGAATATCACGCCACAAAGCGAAAATTGAAAGGAAAGAAAGAAAAGGAGAATGAAGCAGAAAATGCCGCCCAAAGAGAATATCGAACGAAGGGAAAGAAGACGGGATCGGAGTTGACCGGGGCCGGGGTTGCGGCTAACGTCAAAATAAAAGAAAAGAAAACAAAACAAGAAAAAGAAAAGAACAAAGAACAAAGAACCAAAAGAAGGGAAATAGTTTCAATCAATGTCCGGTCTTTGCGCCTGTCAGAGTCGCCATCCTTGAACCACATGCCATTTTGTCCAATCCGTTTGAGTCCCGGGGCCGAGGCCGCGGACCTCTGCCGGTGGGCCCGGAGCCGACGAGATGAGCCAATCTCGTCTGGGCCTTACGAAATGCGAACCCGAGGGGAAAACGGATCCGAACCCGGAGATTAGAACAAGACATCTTTTTTTTTTTTTTTTTTTTGCATTTTTCGCCTTTCTCATTAAAAGCAAACTACCCGTAACCATGGACCGAGACTGTGACCCTGGTTCTCTCCGCTTTCCAGACTCGCCCTCAACCCACTTCAGCCCACATACACTCTTCAACCCACCGGGTTTCATAGTTTCCTGATTAAAATAGTCTTGGTGGGATCAGGGACCGACTAGTGAAATGTCATTATAAGAGCAACCCCCGAGACAGATAAAGAATTGGATGAGGAAAGGGTGTGTGTGAGGGTGAGGGAGTTGAGTGGCCGAAAATTAAGTAAAAAGAATTTTTTCAAAAGAAAATAACTCACCTGCCCAGAAAACTCGAGATTCTTATATCTCTCCGTCACACCCTCGGGCAACCGGACCTCGTAATCAAGAAGAAAGGTTGCCATGATCATTTTGATTTCGTTCGCAGCGAAGAACCGTCCGGGGCAGGCATGCCGTCCATATCCGAACGTCAGGCTCGACGCCCCGACGCTTACAAACTGCGCGTTGGCCACCGCCTCGGCCGCCTTGACGCCGGACCCGGCCTGGTCCTTGGCCTGTCGCATCTTGTAGAACCGCAGCGCGTCGAAGACGTGGGGTGCCGGGAATAGGTCCTCGTCGAAGGCGACGTCGCCGGCCGGTAATTCGATGACGACGCCCGCCGGGATGACCTGGCCGTTGGACAGAGTGAAGGGTTTGAGGACTTTGCGGTTGAAGGAGGCTGTGGGAGCACGAGGGAAGAGGCAATGGTCTGTCAGCGCAGCGCTTCACAGAAGGGAGTGGGATGGAAACGCACTGGCTGCTATGGGATAGTAACGTAGAATTTCTCGGAGGAAGCTATCCAGTTTCCTCATTTTCTGCATGGCCAGACTCGTGAACTGGCCTCCGCTCGCAGATAGTGCCTGCTGGACATCCTCGCGAAGCATCGGAGTGAGCTCGGGCATGGCAGCGAGAGTATAGATTCTGGGATTCTTCAGTACGCTTCCTGGATCTGCCATGGCAGTGGAGGGGAAAATGAAAAAGATAAAAGGAAAAAGATAAATGAAAAAAAGAGAAAAAAAAAGAGAAAAAAAAAGAGAAAAAAAAAGAGAAAAAAAAAGAGAAAAAAAAAGAGAAAAAAAAAGAGAAAAAAAAAGAGA